TTCATTGTATAAACCATTCATCAACCTAGAAGGAATCACCTTTTGTAGGTTAAACATAAAATTTATGAACCAAATTAGGACTCTTCTAAGAGGAAAGGGAGTTAGAAATAATTAAAATAGGCATACATTTGGCCTGCTCTGGGCAAATGGACAAGACTTTGGCAATATTGAAGTTGAATATTTGTTGTTTTCAGTGCCCTTTTCATTTACCTTTGCACAGTTCAATTCTTTTCTGAGTGCCATTCCATACTCTAAGGTTTAGTTTTTCTCTTCTTGATTGTGGTAAACTATTTTAGCACTCCAGCTGTGCCAATTTTCTCTGAGCATTGTCCGTGTGTCTTAAGTTTCTAAAACTCCTCCTAATTAAGAAACCTAATGTACCTACTAAAAATCAAATACCTTATACACAAATCCATGCTAATCAATGTTTTCTAATTGGATAATGTATTTCCTCTAAAGCAACAGAATCTGCATTAGAAGGATAACATTCGGAGAAAATGGGTTTAACTCAAGAGATGAATCACTGTGAAACAGCCAGGCATTGAAAAAGTTACAAGATAATTTGGAGCATCAGGACTTAACACTCTGTTATATAAACTGCACAGTTTTCTGCCTATTGAATATCCTTGTAACTGTAGTCCTGCTTGAGCTACGGAAAAGTGAGAGGAGAGGGCATTACAGGGGTCAAATATACCCGGGAAAAAGGAACTGTTTAAGCACATTGAAATCAAATTATATTCTTCCCAAGAAAACTGGGCTCCTTGCTTGGTTCAGAATGCATTTCTATATTACTCGATCCATAATGAAACCATTAGCAACAATAGTATCCATTTTCACTATAAAGGTATAACCTTCTGCAACAGGAGGTAGACATAACTGCTTGGCCTTTCTCTGTTTCATTCCACCCAGTACTTCTTCTGATGAGCTTTTGTCTGCTATTTCTCTATGTGGTGCTGATGAGTGCAAAAGCTAAGGGTAAAGCTATTAGTCTGGAAGAAACGTAAATGGTTCATTTTCTTTTCTTTGTGTTCTTGGAATTTTTTCAGAGCCCTCTCTGGATAGATTACCTTTATTTATTTTGACATTCATTTTGAGATATCTGATGCTTGGTTTCTTTTAAGTTTATTTTATACTCTTGGTGTTTTCCCTCCATTCAAAGGTGAAACATTCTTGAAGTTCAAGGAAAAAAAAAGAGGACCTAGTAAGGCCTTTGTAATTAAAAATCTTTCATCATTGGAAATTTGCACCTTTACATAATCTCTCTTGGTTCTTATTTTTCACCCTTGCAATCGATAATGCAAAATAGGAAGAAAAGGTCCAAAGGGGTAGGGGTAGTGGGAGGGGCAGGGGAAAGGAAAGAAGGGAAAGGAAAAATGATGAGAA